GGTGAGAAATGCGTCCCAAACATTCTCGAATTGCTGGTCAACGTGTCCATCTTACCAGCAACTTCATCTGATACAACTATCACTTAAGTAACTTAGGCCTAATGAGTTTCTGCGACAAGATCAATCATTGTAAAGTCAGGCAGAGGGATCTCCATGAGTAAGTTAATGACAAGGTCAAATAAAAATGCAGGGAGTGGAGAACCATGTTGGATACCATACGATATCCACAACTTGCTCCTATGGAGCAAGGGACATTGGCCATAGTCAGAGATTACTGTCAACACGTACTTGAGAACATATTCCCGCCTGGTTTTATAGGAGTGGAAGGAAATGCATTACAAGTTCTATCCTTGAACACCTAATCGAATCCAACTATCCAACCAACCCATACAATGATTTTAGGGTTGTCTATTGAACGCGCACAAACATCTCTGTGTCCTCAACTTCTGAAAACAACAGAGGCCTTGGCTATCCATGAACAGAAGCCTGACCGTGTGTAAAAGAAGTATGTACAGTTTTCGTCTCTACCTTGACCTTATCTCTTAAGTCTTGGTTTGTTCCGTTCCTTTTTCTTTTTTTAACTTCTCCCTTGTTAGGTTAAACTTTTTACTCGTATATCATTATCATTTTTACACTTAACAGTTTTCAGTGTTACTTCATTTAATCCTCCCAATTATTGCAACTTTTAACAAAACAACTTCATACTACCTAATCCTTTGATTGTTTATAAACTCTGCCACGTTTTCATCCCTTTGTGATCTATGTGCACCTCACGAACGATTTAAAAATTTTATGTAACCTCCCTTTTGTTATTACTCAACCTTTACGTCATCAACTAGCAACATTATTATTATAGCCACCATAGTTGTTAATTCAACGTCCCACTATTTAAGTCTAACCCAAGTATCATTACCAACAGTATATATATATATATATATATATATATATATATATATATATATATATATATATATATATATATATATATATATGGATGTATAGCTTGAGAGTAAATTCGTTGGAAAAAGTCCTCTTCGATGAATAATTTGTTTTTGATGGGATCCCTTTGTCTGAATTTCTTGCTGACAGGAAATAGATTGTCGTCCGAACAGTTTTATCGGGCGGTGACTGGTATCGGTTCATTTGGTTTGGATTCCGAAACAAATGCCACCTAACTGCCTTTCTGTCTGATTTAGCCTACCCGCATATGCATTAAAATCACCTACTACGACAACCAAATCTGAACTTTTCGTTTTCAGCATTAATCTAGAAAGTTTTCGGTAGAATTCATCCTCTATTTTATGCAAGCTGTAGTCAGTGGGTGCATAAACAGAAATTACAGGAAGACAAAAGCAAGTTTCCCTGTCATTTCCAGTCTTCACTGGATCGTTCAGTAAAACAACGCAGACAACTGTTAACTGGAATCCAGTCGAGCAGTGCACTTCCTACTGTATAACTTAGTGCCACACCTACACCTGTAAGGACTAGCCACCAAATAATCAGAAACTCGAAGGGTGAATTCTGCGGATTCACTATATTGGTTGGGTGAGGTTAAGTGAGCAACCTCACTTGGATCCAGTATACGTGGCTCACAAACAGCAAGTATCCATGGCCCGAAGCCACTTGGTCAACTTGACGGAGGAAGCAGATACTGAAAGCTTCAATATGTGGATTGAATCGCGGTTTCAGGTCAAGGATGCTGCTCCGTGATCTCGAGTCGTTATCAAGAGCTGCAGAGTTGGAAAAAATTAACGATGACAGGGCTACTGACCGATAGATATGAAGAAAGATTAGAAGATAAAGGTGCGGAAGGTTGACAATAATCTGAGGGAACTGGAGTGCTGATAGAGTTGAGGGCGGCTGATACATATTGGCTGCCCACACAAAAGGTTACTTCTTGATTTAAATGAAAAAGAAATTGGATAAGTAGTATTGGTGTGTACCTACAGAGCACACAAGAAATCTGCTTGGACCCGACCACACACGGTGTCTTTGGAAGTTTGAAGGTTAACTTCGATTGATTGACATTCAGCTAGAAAATCCACACTGTCGGCGCCGGAGGACAGCAGGGTAGTGGGGATTGATTCTTTTAGGGTCAACCTTCGCTAAGCCTCTTCCCATAGGGAGGGCAGCATCTGCACGATACTGCCTATTATTCACAGGAAACACCCTACTTGGGTCACTCTTAGAACCCTCATCATACGGCAGTAATTCACACAACGACGGTAACTGATTTTTGTCTTGCCACTATCCAACAGACGTTACTGGTATGTTCAGACCTCAATGGAATAAATGCTCTCATTAGAATAGCTCGTTGGGCCATAGTGATATGCAAGCCCGAGCACCACGTCAAGATAGCAGCTGTTGGTGATGACGTCAACATGGAACAAAAGAGTGGATAGAAAAAGAATGATATCCAAGCAGACTAAAGTTTATGAAAGAAGAGGTTATGAATGAATGAAAATATGCAGCAGTGAGGAGTTTAAATGCACATTTATACTTAATTTTCAGGCGATCTTTAAGCTGTTGGCAATATTCTTTGTAAGATGCAGTATGAAATGCACTGTGATGAGTTGTCACTGTCCAGACAGATATGTGATGCATGCATGAAGTCTGAACCCGTCGTGAAAATTGCCTACATGTGTAATGATATTCCAATTGATTTTTATTTTATGCTTAGACTAATACTACAATTCTGTCAGCCATAATTGAGCCTGTGCTCAAGTAAGTTTGTGAGTGCTCATACAGGTAAACATTGTTTGACTAAGACTGTGTGAAACATTTGACCGAACAGGTTGTGTAACCTGATTTCGAGACTGTGTGAAACATGTATGCCACAACTACAATCCTTGTTCTTCCTGTGTTATTTCAATGTATCAATTCTACTGAATACTAAGTGAGGATTAATTAGTTCAGAATTAAATTCTAAAAACAGTAAATGTATCTAAAGTTTTCAAATGATAGGCAACAATTAAGAACACCTGACTATTCGAAAGCGAAACAGTGAAGTAACTTTCAAGGTGTTTCCTGAAAAGAACTGACCTGGGTTTGGAGAACTTATTTTACAGCCTTATGCACACAATTATTCCTCACAAAGTTCTCAAAGTAGCGCAATTACTTGTAGTTTACGGCCCTAAAATATTTATTTTTCCGTGTAGTAAGAATTGTTAACACTTAATACAACTTAATGACCCCATTTAAGACCATTCGTGGAGTTTTTGGGAGAAGAGAAAGTCATTCGATGGCGTTGTGAACCAGTATAGACTGATTTTCAACCTTTACCAGATCCCAAAACAGATGTTATCCCCCCCCCCGCAGAATTAGTTGCTTTTCATTTGAAAGTAGAAAGTGACTGAAGTGCGCTGTTTTACTATTTGGCTGCGAAACATGGTTGTGCAGACCGTGAATGCGATGATTCCACCTGTTTCACTGTCATTGGATGTTTGTTCATGATGATAATGACTTAGATGAGTTGATTGAACGGTCTAAAAGATGAAGCCTGGAAACCAACTCTAGGAAAAGTGCAGTAATGCACATTGGTCGAGTTGTACTACCCTTACTCATTAGATGGATTAATGTTGCCTCACTTTCGGGAGTAGAAAGATCAAGGGGTTGCTATCAGCCATAGACAGACAGCGGACATCAAAGTAGAGCCTTGAAAATAAATGTTTCGGCTCAAGTTGCCAAACTTCACGGCAGTATATAAAGAAGAGATAAACAAAAAAGGAGAGATGCCAAGGTACACAAAGTTGTTTTAAGGGACAAACAATTTGAAGTGTTAGTGAGAATATTCAAGCTTTAGAAGACGTCAAAGAGTGAATACATCTGCACCACTGTGAAAACGGTTATACCTAAATATTCCTTTTCTTTTCGCTGAACAAGACATTTAAAGGAAGACATTTCATCATTATCCTGAACTTGATAGTGCGTGATCCAGAGCTCAGCTGATCTAAGAAGTTTTGGTGTAAGTTATGTTCCAAAATTAGGAATGTCACCTTACACTAGAGTACTGCAGCATGAATGATGACGGGTGTTGATCTCTCCAATCTTTCTACTCCTTCTAGGATTGATTAACTAACAGATAACCATAAAAAAGTTCAAGAGTCACGGTCGAATAAACTAAGAGTGGAACTCAAGTTTTCGCACAGGGTAATCAATGACTGGGACTTATTACCCGAAATTTTGGTAGCTACTACTTCTTCGTTGAACGCCTATACGGAAAAACTAGATCTTCACAGAGACTCATACAGCCAGGATTAATGCAGACTACTCGGTCGATCATCCTCAAACCTGGAAAATGAGATCACAAGAACCAGGATAGATACGCCTTGCTAAAAAGTGCATACAAGAACGAAACACAAGCCCAGGGTTTCTCACTAATCGAGTCACCCCCTAACTAACTAAAATGTACTTATTCACAATCATAGACCATTACTAATCTTTAATTACTTGTAGTAAGCAGTCAAATTGAGTTGTGACGGCGTTTGAACGTTCGGTATAAGGGAAACTTATTGGTGCTTAGGAAGTCAAACGGTGTCACTAGATATACATACTCCATCTTATGATCCCTTTGAAAACCATAAGCCCTGATTCACTAGAAGCGATAAGTTACTGAATTTAATGTTTATGTCACGTAAGCGCTGGGATACCTAACTTACCGAGTTATCTTTTAATAACCTTTAAGGATTAGAGCGAAAAAACTCAATACGATCTCTGTTTCGAGGGTACTGAGTCCTTCTTCCCTAAAAGTCTGAGATTGTTGGAGTCAGTAGAGGGTTTGTTTGATGAAACCTACATGAGAAACTAAAACTTTTAGTACAACGTAACAACAGGTGAGGAAGTAATACGGTGTGTGCTTAGTTTTGGAATGCGGAAATGCAAGTTTAGAAAGAAAATTTCCCCCTATTCCTAGCATAATTTTTGTACCTAGTGCATTATTTACTCTCCTATGAAAAAAGCCAGCTGGCTAACAAATTGCAAACGGTATATAATGGTCTTACCTATGATTGTGCAATGGTGATCACGCCGAAGAACACACGTAGCACAGTCAAAACAGTGGTGAGCACGAGGTGGGCGCAGAGTCTGGCATGTAACACAATAAGTCCAATCAGGTCTGGACTTTGATGAAAGCAAGAGACCACGAATACTTGGGTCTACTGAAATGCATTTGACAACACTGACATAGAAACAGACGAAAATAAGCAGCAAAATGAAAGATACGAGACATTTCTGACCATCAAACAACGAAGGTAGTACCAAATAAAGCTCAAAAACCAGAAGGTAGATTGTAAATAATGCCAGCAAAAGACGTGTCACTATGCTCTTTAGAATAGTACTACGGACCACTAAAAATAAAATAAATTCAATATAAATTATAGGAAGGTATTACCAGGTGAAAACAGACAATGAACTATGTTAATACCACCAGTAAATATACAACATAGCCACTTCAATCCAGCCATATGTCAAGAACCTTGGATTTCGAAGAACAACAGCAACTTATATACAACCTTTTGGTCAGTTGAAAGTTCAAGGTTATCTTCAGAGAAGAGGATTCAGCATCCAATAACAATGGTATGAGGGTAAGAAACTGTTAGTTTTTGATCTCTTGGGTCTAGCTCTTGGGGCAAAGTTCTTGTTGTTCAGTTCGTTCATCCAGGGACCAAGGAAATCTCTTTTGTTTCCCTGCTTCTATCTCTGTTCCAATATCCAATATTGATAGTGCGAGCGTAGAAAACTGGTAGTTTTTGATCTCTCGAGTCTAGTTCTTAGGGCTTGGTTCCAGTTGTTCGGTTCACTCCTGCAGTGGACGAGGAAATCCCCTCTGCTTTCTTGCTTTTAGCTTCGGTGAGGTGGATGTTTTGTGGGTTAGTAGGTTGTAATTTGTAGAGTGATTAGGGAGCTACGGGTTGCTGGGAAGTTTAGAGAACTGCCGTGACTCCTGTCTGTGTAGGTACCTGAAAGAGAATAGTAGGGTAGTGGTAAAGGAATGAAGAGAGAATAAAAAGAGAGAAGAAAGAAGAAAATAATAATAAGGAAAGAGAAAAGGGAAGGAGAAGAAAAGGAGGGGTGAAAAGAGAAGAAAGACGAAAGAAAAGTATTTGGGAATTGCCCGAATGGTCGCGTGGGTTTGGTTCCTACAGAAGAATTAGTAGGTAATGTGGGTGTATTAAGGAGGAGATAGTGAGTGGTAGTTAGGAGGGAGTTGGGGGTACTGAGGTTGGTGACTACCTGAGTACGTCCGTGGTAGTCCATGCGAGGTGACATAACTGTCTAATCGCCTCTTGAAAGAGTCGACTGAAGGAGCTATAACGATGTGTCGCGGTAAGGCATTCCATAAAGCACATACTCTTAGGGAGAAAAATTTGGACCTGAGTGTGGTGTTGGCTCTCTGGTGTGCTATCTTAATGGGGTTTCCTCGTGAAGATCGTTCAGTTGCAGGCAAAATTGATTTGTTTGCATGGTCTGCCTGATGGGCGATCTTGTATGCCATAATGAGGTCACCCCTTTTCCTGCGATAACCCAAGGTAAATAGGTTGAGGTGTTTAAGTCTTTCAGGATACGTCTTTCCCCTTAGCCCCACAACTGATTTTGTTGCAGTTCTTTGTATTCTTTCAAGGAGATTAGAGTCTCTCTTGAGTGTTGGAGGAGCCACCGTATTGAAGACCTCTAGGTGCGGCCGCACGTAGGATTTGAAAATGGTGAGGAAGAGTTCGGGAGTGAGGGCGCCAAGCTGTCTACGCAGAAAGTGTAGAATGGCGTTCGCTCTGGTTGTCATACCTTTGTAGTTGGAGCTGGTGTCCAAGGTGTCGGAGAAGTTGAGCCCCAAATCTTTCTCCATGGACACTCTGGTGATAGCACGGTTGCTCAACATGTACTGGAAGTCGGTCGTACTTGCCTCATTTTTACTGATGTGCATTACTTTGCACTTTTCCAGGTTGAAGCTCAGGCCATTTTCCGACGACCAGAGCTCGAGTTGCTGCAAGTCCTTTTGTAGTGCTGCACAGTCGGCTTCTTCGTTTACCACCCTCCAAATTTTTATGTCGTCAGCGAAGAGGAGGATGGGTGAGGATATTTTGTCTGGCAGATCGTTGACAAACAGGAGGAACAGAAGCGGTCCTAGGATTGCTCCTTGGGATACTCCTGACGTCGAGGGTCTCCACTCCGACCTTATTCTGTTCACTTTAGTGCAGAACTGCCTCCCTTCCAGGTACTCCTTGAACCAAGAGAGTAGGGGTCCACTTATACCAGCTGACATGATCTTGTGAAGCAGTACTGTGGGTGGGACACTGTCAAATGCTTTGGCTAGGTCGAGAAATACAACATGTACAGGTTTTCTATTATCCCAGCTTTGTGTCCAGTCGTCCCAGGCGGTTAGTAAGTTGGTGGCACATGAGCGACCACTACGAAAGCCGTGCTGAGCAGTGTGGACAGTGTTTTCTCTATTGAGGAATTCCCAGATGGTGTCAGCTACCAGGCTTTCCAACACTTTCGACACAATAGGGAGTAGGGCAATCGGCCTGTAGCTGCCGGGGTTTTTCTGTCTCCTCCCTTGAAGATGGGTGACAAGATGGCACTCTTCCATTCTTTAGGGAGTTTGCACGAGTCTATTGAGTGCTCAAAGAGGTTGCGAAGTGGTTTGGTAAGCACCTCGGCGCAGTTTTTCAGAACCACTGGTTTCAGGTTATCGCAGCCAGGGGACTTGCCCGGACGTAGCCTAGATAGCTTCTCGAACACCTTTTTCTCTGTAATAGAGACGTGACAGAGGTATTCGTTATTTGCGACCTGGTCGGTGTGGGTCTTGTGTCAGTGCTGAGTTGGGCTTGGAAGTGTGAGCTCAAAAGCTCGGCAATCTCTAGACTGCTTAGCACACTCCCGTCATGGCCTGTGACAAGATTCACTCCCTTACTGGTCGACTTTCTTCTTGACATGAAGCGGTACAGGTTTTTGGGGTTGCTTTGTAACCTCGCTGCCAAGTTTGTTTGGTAGGAAAATCTGTCGTTACGCACTCTAATGTTACAGAGATTGCGAATCCTTTTGTAGTTCAAGAAGTCAGACTCCCTGCGTGATGTACGCCACTTGAACCAAGCCTGCTTCTTGCTCCGGATAAGCCTCTCTGTCCCACGCTTTAACCATGAGGTTCTCATTGATTGTCTGTGTGTTACTTCTGGTACACTGTGACTGATGGCCCCAGTGATTATTTTCTTCACCTCCAACCAGTGTTCATCTATTGTGAGATGAGTCCAGTCCACTGGCCATGATGCATTCATGAGGTAGTCCCTCATGGTCTCATAGTTGGCCTTGCTGTAGCAAGGGAAGGTGTTGGGCGTCTCCAGTTGCAGAGCCTCCCTAGTTATCATGGAGAAGGTGATTACAGCGTGGTCACTGAGGCCAAGGGGAGGTTGGATGCAAACATCCTCAATGAGAAGTTCATCGTTCGTCAGAACGTAGTCAAGGCGCGATGCGTTTCCGTTAGGTCCCCAGCGTGTAGCATCACCCACTTTCTCTGAGAGGCCAGCAGTCTTAATTGCATCCTTCAGCTTCTGATTGAAGGATCTGATGCGTCTCCCTTCCGTCTCGAAGAGGATGGACGGGGTGTTGAAGTCGCCGGCAATGACTACGGAATCGTAATTTGCAGAGGAAGTCGTTAAGATAGCCTTGATGATCATTTCCTTATGTGTAGGGGAGCTGGTGGGGGACCGATATATGACTCCGAGCAGGTATTTGGTACTGTGGAGAGTGAAGTAGCACCATAGGGACTCTGGGAGCTGGGTTAAGGCCGTATCGCTAACCATCCTTGCCTTTAAACAAGAGTTTACGTAGATAGCCACTCCCCTCCTGCTCTATGTTCCCTGTCCCTGCGGAAGAGTTCCATGCCAGTAACATGCATCTCTTCGTCGGAGATGTCTGGCGAGAGCCAGGATTCGGTGATGAATATGATGTCGGAGTGCTGATGTGCACGCAGCGTCCTCATTTCTGCTACCTTCCCTCTTAGCCCCCTAACGTTGCTGTACATACATATTAGAGTGTGCCTGGTGAGGGGGAGGTCTGGTTGTGTATTTTCGCAGGATGACCGCTTATGTGGTTGGGTCTACCCTCGCCAGTCCTCATAGGACTGGCATTGTTCCGTTTTTGTGTTTTGTTATAACTTGGGTGGGGGCTGTGGCAGTGGTGGCTTCTTTACTTGATGTATCTAACTCACTGGTCAGCGCCTGTGTGACGACCACTGACTCCAGAGGTCTTGGTGGTTGTCGTCTCTCCTCTTGCCTTGTGGGTCTAGGCTTACTTTCACATATACGTATTGAGCCACCCATGCGATCCTTCGCATTATACCATGCGTGTAGAACGTCTGTGAGGGAGGCATATGAGTCGAACTGGACGGCGAGTAGTCTGGGATTGGGTATGGTCTTCAGGTGCGCTGGCCTTGGCAGTCTACTGACGCTGTTGGCCGGTATACTGTTGAGACCAACTTTGGTTGAGAGCCATTGCCATTGTTGGACGTCGTGAAAGTACCGATCTTTGACCGAGCGGTCACTTGGCAATTCTGGAATCCCATGTACAACTATAGTGTTGTTTCTGTTGGGATTTCCAACCGCTGACTTTCTCTCCTCCTCTCTTATTGACCATGGCTTGTCAGGCCTGGCCCGAATTTTACAGGCATTAACAACGTCCGGTTGTCGCGAGAGGAGGAGTGTGTCTTCAGCCTCTTTGGGTATTTAGGGACACACGTAAAGGGGGTGGCTTATCTCGGGGTGCACGGCTTCCTCGAGAAAGGCGACATAAAGTTGCAGGGAGGGGAGGGAGTCCCAGCATCTGACAGTAGTCGGTCCACATTCGGCTGTCAAACCGTTCCCTCTCGACCAACAATGAGTCTGTCGATACATCGACGTTGAACAAAATGATCGAGTTGGTCCTCCTGTGACCTGGGTTCGTTGTGGGTGGCACGCTCGACTTCCCAATGGGTTTGAGTAATTCCACTGGTTGTTTCTCAGTCACGGTGTGTGGTGTTTGGAATGGGTTTCGTAGAGGCTTCAGCGGTCGATGTCTTTGGCCATGCGCTTGACGTCCCCTGGGGCCGGTTAGGAGGTACGGAGACTTGACCTAATGTGGTCCCCATGCGAGGTGGCGTGCCCACAGCTGGAGATCAAGGTCTGTTTCCAGGTCTCTCTGTGTTATTCTTTGGTGTTAACCCTACTTTATTCGAGGATGCTGGTAGCTTTTGACCTGGGACTGTGGCTTAGTGGGGTTCTTCGGATGTCGAGTTGCCAGACATTTGTTAAGACCGGTCGTAAGAGGGAGTTAGTGTTAGCGAAAGGATAATCCAGGAAGATAAATGCGCGTGAGTGAGGGACAAAGAAAAGTTTAATGATGGAGTAATCTACATACACCTAAATAAGAAGAAAAGAGTACAAAGATACGCATAGGTAGGTGAGGTTAATTCATAGCGAATCAGAGGGACGAT